GACGCAAGGCTCTCCTTTGGGCGCCCATTCCTCGCCTTGGCCATATTGTGCAATTGCTGGAGTATCTTTGCTTCAAGTTGACTCAGCATGTCAAATCGCTTGCTTTTTTTGGGGACGGCCTGGTGTCGAAGAACGAAACAGCAAGCAGGGCAAGTAGAAATAAGCATTGGCGGGCTGATGCAAGGAAGCAGAAATACCTACCCCAAGCGCTGGGGTATCTGCTGGGCAAGCTAGTACGACTTGGTGCAAAGTCCTGTCATCATCAATAGTACTAGAGTTGTCCTTTTTATTTTGTCGAGTTTTGCCTAGAACGCAAAGGCCATCACTAATCACAAATCACCTTTTGTGCGTGAATGGGCAAAACAATTACTGTTAGCCCGTTTGCTAGTAGCCAGCTGGTGACCCTCGTACTGTAGCGAGTCAAACCTGGGACGTGCTAAACAAGGCAATTGGATTAGTATGTAATTCCTTCAGCCGACAGAGAACGCACACTCACTCACACAAAACCTCGGGGTTATGGATGGGGGTTGGCCTATCGCGTCAGCGCAGCAGCATGTGTTTGCGGCCACGGGATTGGACGTAAGAAACCCCCTCCCCCGTTTGGAAAATGGAACTTGCTTGATGCCATTCGCAGGGCCCAAAGTTCTCGACCATGTGGTTTTTTTTTGGTTCGACTTCGGGACCGAGGTCTTCGAGTTCCCTTCTCGGGTTATGCGGCTCATTCTAAGCGATTATGATGGATGGTGACGAGCAAGTGGGCACGCAGGATCGAATCCTTTTCATCCTGAAGCCAAGGGCAACTAAAAAAGAGCGGGAAAAAGAACCCCAACCAACAGCCGGAAACTCGAAAGCGGCGTAAACTTGCCGAGAAAAAAAAACAGGTATCTCTCTCTTTCTCTCTCTCTTTTTTTTTCCAGACTGTGTTTTTTTTGTCTTGTTTTCTTTTTGGTGTGTTTTTACGTATTCGGTTATTGGTCTGCGTTGGCAGCGTTTGCCTCCAAAAGGTACCAAGGGGGTTCGCCATGTACTGGATGAGTACCTTGGTATGTAGCAAGCACAAAATCAGGCCTGTGTTAACCGATGTAACCAATGAGAGACAACAGTTACGGAACGGCTAAGTTGACACGGCATGTTTAGGGGAGAGCCGGAGAAACATGGGGTGGCCTTTTTTTTTTTTTTTTTTTGCGTTTTGTCCGTGTCAAGTGTGTATAGGTACTTGCAAGTGCTCAAGGTGCGTGATTGCGTTTGTAAGGGCTTTGCTCTGGTAATCGTTATTTCCCAGTTCATCTTTCTGCGTCGTATTGATTTAGACTCCGGCAAGTATGGATTCCTTTTTTTTGGGTTGCTGACTGCGTGAGTTTTTTGTGTGAGATTTTCCCCTTGCCTGTACTAGGCACACTTGCCGAGGTGGGAAAAAGGGAAAAAAGAGAAGGCCCAAGGAAAATGGGGAGAAGAACGCAAAAAGAAGGGGACTTGTTTGATTAGTGCTTCCAATGAGAGGCACTGAATGACAACAAAGTTTGCATTGCCCAAAATGCTCTTTGAGAAACGGGGAGAACTCTCTTCGCCATATGCAGAGCGTCATCGTGAATTGCCTGTTCTGGACTTTGCAACACGCCCCCCCCCTTGCTTCCAGCTCTCGGAGTTCCAAGCGTGCGTTATACTGTAGGGACCTGTATTTGTAGTTTCCTAGTGGAGATCGCGTTTCCGGGGTCCGAGTGCTCATTCCAACAAAGGGAGGTCCTGGTACTTGTACTACGAGTAAGAGAGAGGCCAAAGTCTATAATATTTTGTGACGTGTTGCTTTGTTGTTTCATTTGTCTTGCTGCCTGGTTGTCTACTAGCAGGACTGGTGAAACGGGCGAGTTATGCAACTGGCAACTTTTTTATTTATTTTGCATTTCAGCTTGGCGATAATCTATCCATTGCATTGCATTGTACGGAGTATTTGATTGAACCATTATATTGTACTTGATTGAATAATTGGTTGATTGGGTGGCCTCCCCCCCTATCTCTCTATTTGCCGACATCTGCTGGGCGGCCTCGTACTCCTTGCCTATCACAGGCAAAGTTCCCTTTTTGTGGATTTAGCAACCTACATGTAACGAGTACCTCCCTCAGGTATGGTGATCCGTCGTATATTGGTATGGATGGGTACTTGTAATGCGGAAGAATAGATTCCAAAACTTGGCGCAACTGAACATCGAACGACGGTCCCTGCGCCCGTGCGCGCTCTTTGGGCAACGGACAACGGAGACGCGGCCAACGTGTGAACTGAGCGTATTTTCTCCGCCAGAATGACAGTTGCGCCGTGCCGGGTTGCACCGCCATTTCGACTGGGCGCGGACTTTTTTTTTAATTTTTTAATTTTTTAATTTTTTTTTTGTTATGGATGATTTGAGTTTTTATTTGGGCCACTCTGCGGATTCTTTTTTTTCTTCTGTTATTTTTGCTCCGTTCCTCGGGGTTTACGCTGGGGTTGTATATTAATCTGCGCTTCCGAAAGGAGAAAGACTTGCGTGCTCACCAACACGCTCTCTTCGCAAAATGTGTACCTCCAGCAATGCTAGCAATGCCACACGAGGTTGGTTGAAGGGAGAAGGGCAAACCAAGAAGCTAATGATACGACGCCGATATTTTTTCTTGCACTTCATTTCCCGCCTTGGCCCTGCACCGAAAAAACACATTCTGCTTCCAATGCCAAGCATCTGCTCCAGTAGGTATCGTTGAACAAAGTACGAGTGCAAGCCCCAAAAGTGCCCAGAACCTCTATGAGTACATGTACCTGGGCGGGTTTTTTTTGATCGTATTTCGCGTTCGTGGACTCGATCCTTCTGAACCACCGTTATCTCCTAGCCTGGGGCGTATTACAAGCTGCGGTGGCTTGAGCCGGGCCCTGGGTGCATTGTAAGGAGCGCCAAATATAATGCGTGCGTATTCAGCAAGAAGCGGGAAATGCACGTCAAATAGTTGCGTCTTTTGCTTGTCGGAGGATTACGATGACAAACGATTAGGTACTAACTGTCGTCGAGTCCCGTTTGCGGGAACATGTGACGAGGCTGCGCCTGGTCCCTGGTCCGAGGGAAGTACTAGGCAGTATCGAGGCAACAGCCAATCAGTCCCCAGCGCGAAATCTCGATTCACCGCAGAGAGAACGAGGGTGCGGCAATATTATGTCGAGTTATTCAATGGCCTTGTCTTGGGGCGCGTCGTATCTGTCATAGCTCGAAAGACGCTCATGCGACGGTGATTGGTGGTTTCGCCGCATGCTATAGGATGCCGTTGTGCCTAGCGGGTGCATATAGTACGAGTAGCATCAATACTGCAATGCATCATTGACCAAGGAGGGGGAACGGATCAATACATCCAATGTGCTTGTAGCGCTTGGCAATCAATAGTAGAAGTAGAGGTAGTACTCGTAGTAGAGACCTCAGCTACAGTAAGTCAGTACGGAGTATGTGCTACTGTACCTTGGTAGAGAGTCTACGGATAGAATCACGGAAACAAGCACAGGAATGTGCGAGCATCGTATCTGCGTGTTGCGTGTCTCTCTTAGTCCTGGCCAGCCTCTCTCTCTCTCTCGTACCGAGTCAAGTCAAGCCAATCCAATCCAATATAGTATCATGCGCCATCCCTTGAGAAGGAACCAAGCAAGACATGACTGTGTCTCTCTCTTGTCTCATTCATTCATCACCCGTTACGACAACTTTGGCACCCCTGCACCCGCCTCCACTCTCGAGTCTAGGGGACCCGTCCAAAGTAGCTCAACTTGTCGCAACTTTGGTCGTCCATCACAATCACACGCCCCCTCCCTCTCGCCGGCTGTCTTTTTCGTGGTCGTTCAGTGCAGCGTCTAGGCGGATCGGGGCTGTAGATGCACTCGCAGAGAGGTCGATGTAGAGGCCTCTGGAGAGTCCCATATTATTGAACCCTTTCCCTTCCGCTAAAACAGGTAATCTCCTCCCTTTTTGCTGCTCCATTTCTCTCCCAGTGCCGTACCGTCCGGCTGTGGCGAAAGTCAAAGTCAATCAGAGATAGTATACGGGAGCAGGTAGATTGAACAGTTGAACAAGGGGACAAAGATAGGTGGCCTTCATTTTGGTTGTTTCCCTTCAAACTCTTTCCCTTTTCCATCTTTATCTCTCTCTTCTTTTTTTTCCAACTTTTTTCTCCTTTTTTTTTTTTTTTTTTTTTTTTTTTTTTTTTTTGGCTTTTGCTCTCTCTCTGTCCCCTCTTCCTCCCTCATCGCCCATCGTTTTCGAGTCATTTCAGAATACGGCGAATTTGTCCGGCCATGTACGAGTACTCGTAAAACAAGCTGTAGAATTAGTTAGCACCAACTCGTATATCGTGCTAGTATCTTTCGGGGTGGCGACCTGATTATTCACTCGTTACGCCCTTGCTGTATTTTAATTTATTTTTATTTTTTTGCTCTCGTTATTTAGCTCCATGTTCGTTTCTTTTGCATCGCACACCCCCCCCTTGTCACCGATTAGACTCAGACTCGCAGCCGATCAGGTCTGTTGGTTTCCGGGACCCGACAATCTCTCTTCAGCCCAGGTCCGGACAGAGGCTACTACGGGATCCTCATAATATCGTTTCGAAATATTCTCCTCCTCTTCTTTTCCTTCTTCTTCTTTTCCTTCTTTTCTTTTTTTTTTCATCCCCCCTAAACCATAACTTTGTAGGCACAGTTTGTCGTCACCAAAACTCCGTCGCCATCACGTACATCTCCCATCTCGACCACGCCCCTGCTTCTTATCTTGATACCCTCTGTGCTTTCCCCAGCTTCCAAGTCTCAGTTTCATTCTCCGTCGGCTAAATCTGTATTGTGGTATTCGGTCTTTACGTCTATCGGACTCTGACGAGACAAAAATATTACCGATCAGCCCTTGGCCTGGGCAGTGCCTTGATAGCATCGTTACTTTATATAATCAGAACCCCAGCCCTTGGCCGCGCGTTATCTCATTCCACATCGCAACTCGAGGATATCGCACGTTATGGACGGCGTAGCTGTTGAACATTACTCTCGGACGCCGCCTATCCCGTCAACAGAGACCAACATGGCGACTCTTGCACCTCTACAGTCTCGGGAGCCGTCAGAAAAGAGAGAGCTGCCTCACCACCCGATGCTGAGCACGGCGGCCCTGTTGAACCCCATCATCGAGAAGACGCCGCCGCCGATGGTCCAAGAGATCAAGCCGCTGCACCCGCATACGCTGCCTCAGATCCAGTCTCTACCCCAACCTCAGTCCCAGTCTCAGCATCGGCCGCAGTCGTATCAATCTTATTCAAACTCGCACTCGCTGTCACGCTCGCCAGTGGACAAGGGACCTTCAGCATCGACGACGCCTCCGCGAGAGTCCACCAACGGACCCATCATCAGCGAGATGCCAAAGTGAGTTTTACTATTTTTATTTTGTTTTATTTTATTCTATTTCTTCTCTATTCTCCCTCTTTCATTGTCTCTTCTTCCCTTCTTCCCTTCTTCCCCTCTTGTCCTGCATGCATCGTTCGTCATGGAAAAAGTGTTCCGCGGCAAGCAGCAGGAAATCATCAAGCTTCTCGCTCGCCCTTGCGGCAATCCGCGCCACTGCAGCTCGAACCGAACTCGATTCCGTGTGCAACTCGAGTTTCTGGCCTCGCCCCCTTTTTTGCGCCCTTTTCCCTGGCCTCCTGTTTCACGGCAACAAAGCAGAAAAAGGGCACCAAAACCAAAGCAAAATGACTTGAGACTTTTTGGCTGCGATTCACCGGCCTCGCTCTGTGGGGCCCTTTCCGCCTGCCACTGCCCGAGCATCTCCTGGGCTTGTGATTGCCCGTTAGTTGTGTCTTGTCTCGCCCGGGACCAACTGCCTTAGGTTTGCAACTTGTCTTAGCAAACTTGGCCGCCTCGACTGCTTCTTCCCCTTCTTCCCTTCTTCACTGCAAACTCCAGCATCCAACATCCCAACCCGCAAAGGCGCAATCTATCGCGATATCGGCAACCAACCAATCAGCTGGAATGGAATAGCCAGTTGTGCCGTCCATTTACTGTACATTTCGAATTCTCAACACAATCCACCGTCGTCTTCATCTTTCTGCCAACTTAAAGAACTCGATCCCTGTCTCGTCTCCGGCATCCAGACGGCGTTTCCCATGGGCATCCCATCCTTCACATTCCCCTGCAGTCTTCGTCAAAGGTGAGCTGAGTTTGCTAGGCAACTGATTGGTCCAACACTCTGCAGCCTGTCCTTGCCGATCGAGCTGTGCCGCTCACAAACTTTGCCTCGAGCCTAGTGGCTTAGACAGAGGCACTTATTGGGAGTCGGTGCAACGTGTTCCCGTAGGAATGGACGTCTTATATCCATGACTTGTGCGCGGCAGTGGCCTGATTCCGATCTTGCATCTCAACCTGACTCCCCTGATCTCTGCCCCGTCACCATTGCCCTCCGTCAAATCACATGTCGCTTATGACATGTTTTGTGCTGCAGCTCTAGACTGCGAGTTGCTGTCATTCTCTTCAAGAGCCCAAGATAGATAGGCGCTGATGCCATCTTGCATCTGCGGCACCGGAGTTCCGTGCATCATTTCCCCCCAACTCTTGCCCATCGGCTAGGCGCCTGCTTCCTTGAGAGCAGTTGTCAAGAGAAAATAGAAGACGGGAGGAGGGAGCTGCGGCGCTAGTTTCGTGCAATATCACTTCTTGCTGCCTGGACCATTCGTTTCGTTTAGGCCCAAGGACAACCCATCTCTCTTTGGCATCCGATTATCACGTTTATTCTTCGCGAGTTTCCTTGTCTTCTTGATTCAGCATTTCTTCTCTTCACCAATCAATTTTTGAAAAAAAAAAAAAAAAAGACTCCCTTCTTGTCTGCAATTCATTTTGAGTCACAATGGATCATCGCTCCATCTCTTCGCCTCTGAGCGACGGGCTCTCAACCGCACCATCGACACCAACTGACATGAGTCCCAGACCGCTCAACGGACACAACAAACCTTTTGACGACAACGAACCAGAAAGCGAGCTTAGCGAGCCCGATAGCAACGTTCATTCACCATCAGGGGTGGGTCTGAATGATCAAGCCGGCTCTATTGTCGTTCATGCCAGTACTAACGGTGACCTAAAGTCTTCTCCTCCTCGCGTTACTTCTGAAAACGACGACGAGGCTATGACAGATGCCCAAAATGAAGCCGCAGTTTCTCACTACCCTAAGCGCAAGCGAAACTCGGTCTTTACCGACCTCAGTGAGAGCAAGATGGAAATCTCCAATGACGGTACAAAAAGTCCTCCCCTCATACCAGGTCTCAAGAGCAAACCATCGCGACAGAGTCTGGGAACCGTCCGGGGTGTCTTGTTGGGTCACTGGAGAGACTCGCCGATCCCTGATCCCGAAGGTCGCCATGCAGTGATAGGATTCATCGAACGTTCGTGACCGATTACGTACTCGAATTCAGCCTTATACCGTCGCCAACGAGCCAATCAGCAACGAGTATCCCATGCCTCCGGGGCCTGGTGGCAGCTGGGTTACTTTCGAACGCGTCGTCTTTTCCAAGCACTTGGTTGGCCTTGATCATTTTCAAGTCAAAGAGTATGTGAGGCTGCGAACTGACATTCAGGAAGAGAAGGAGGAGGAACGCAAGACTGCGGAGAGAGCAGCAGTCAAGGAGGCCGTCCGCAGAGTCAAGGAGAACCCTGCCTTTGATAATCCAGCTACTCAGCCCGCCATAGCCCACGGTCCCGAATTGCCCGAGTCGGCCTTTAGCCCCGGCCGCCCGGATGCCAAGAGAAGACGCGTGAGCGGTGGCTTTGCCGCCATCAACCCCGGCGGTAGCAATAGCCCACCGGAGCGTTCGCCTTTGCTGCCATCCCAACCTGCTCTGCAGCCTCGTCCACCCCATGTTCCGAAGCTGCACGGACCGCTTCCAGGCACTCGGCCCACGCGCATCTTGCTGGGTTATTGGAAGGGCTCCAGCGAGGAAGACCCCAGAGATCGCCACGCGGTGTACGGCATCCTAGGACAGAATGACATGTTCAGAGTAAAAGTAGTCCGCGAAACACGTGATGGCCGATTTGTCGATGGCAATTTTCCCTCAGGTGCTGGCGCCCTCTGGATTCAATATGAGGAAGTGGAGTTTGAGCCGCACCTGAAGCCGCTTCAGAGATCGGAGATTAAAGAGTATTGTCGAGTCCGCCAGTATCAGCTCGATCAAGGCGAAGTACCCGAAGACCGCATCGGCAACGAGATTAGGGCCGTACACGAAGCTCAGGCTCGTGCGGGCTCCGGCTACAGACACATTCACCAGCCCATTGCTCCGTACCACCCTATCGCTGCTGACGACTCGGAGTTGGCAAATGGCCGGTCAGACGTTGGTGGAGCTCAGCATGAACTCCGGCAGTCGCGCCGCGGGGAATCCAGGGCTGCTCCTCGACAGTCTTTCAACGAAAACGACCTGCGTCAACCACGGGCTTATGCCGAACAGGAGCCTCAGCGTCCAGACTCGCGAGCCACGAACCGCGGAATGAACTCGGACGGGATGGAGCGAACCAACGCCCTTGCTCGCAGGGAGATTGCGCGAGTCGAAGCTGCCCAGGGCCGCGCCGACCGCCATGCCATGCACCGAGAACGAGCCGCCGCTCTCGTCGCTGACGCTGCGGCTGCGGCTGCTGCCGCTGTTGTTGCCACGGTTCCGTCCCAGGCCGCCGCCACCACCAACGGCAGAGCTCCTCGCTTCCATGAGTCGGAAGATATGCAGCGCCTGAATAAGGTCTGGGCCCGCCAGGAGACTCTGCGCCTCAAGGCTGGCGCCGAAGACGCCAAGGTCTATGACGGCGTCAAGTATGAGCGCAAGACGAATGGGCCGTTTATGGGCAAACTCGTGTCGCAAGGAACCATCATCAACATTGATGGGGAAGATTATGTTGAATATCGCGTTCTTACAAAGCCATCCTTCTTTTAACCGCCTCTTTTTACTCTGCCATTTTCATGGTTTCACTTGGCCCAAGGAACAGCCAAGAACGCACGGAGAGTTGTCACCATTGCAATATCACGCAGCACAACGCGGTCATTGATGAGATACTACGGTGTAAGGATGATTCAAGACGGTACAGCTTAGAGTGCTGAAAGTGAGCAACAGAGGCAGAAATCGATGGGGAGAGATGATGTGTTCCCTACTGGCTTGATTTCCTTTCTTCTCTTCTTTACAACCCATCGTTTTCTTCATCTTCCATCTCTAATTTCTTTTTTCATGCCTATTGAGGGGGACGATTACATATATGGCTGCCTAGACGGATATACACGTATCGCGGCACACCAGGGAAGGATAATGTGATATGCACAGCGGCGTTTTTGTTATATTTTTTTTCTCGTTTGGGAGACGGTGGTACGATCAACGTGAATCGAGGTTTTTTTTTCGTTGCACGACGGTTTTCGGGTTCTCCTGTTCTGTCTCTTTTCCTTTTCAACTGGCTGCGGCTTTCTTTGTCAAGTTTTCCTTTTTCTTTGCTCACCGTTTCCTGTCATGTCGTTCCGATTTCCTTTTCCCTTTTTTCTTTTTGGTCCTGAATACCCTGTTTCTACAGCTCTGAGATTGTGCAACGTAATAAATTCTGAGTTGGGATGGTTTTTGCTCTTTTCTTCTTCTTCTTTTCGCCTTGAGGGCTCTCAATATCGACTAGATGGGCATCTTGTTATCTCACGGGGTAGTAGTTGAGAATGCTCCTAGGCAGTAATTGATATGTCAAGCTCTAAACTAAAACAATAGTCTCTGTGGTTCTAAAGTAAGACAATAGTTGTTTCTGTGGTTCTAGACAAGGATAATAGTTGTCTCTGTGGTTCTAGACTAGGATAATAGTTGTCTCTGTGGTTCTAGACTAGGATAATAGTTGTGTCTGTAGTTCTAAACTAAAGCAATAGTTGTCTTTGTGTACCTAGTAAGACGGGCTTATGGGCCGCGATGTTTGCTTTTTACAATAACGTCTCTTGGGTTGTTAGGCAGTAAACTGGAATATCCCCTGCCCTTCTTCTAGTTCGCTGGCCAAAGAAGGCGGAAAGGGACACCGGCTACCTCGTCAAGGATTTTGCCGGCCTATTGAGGCAGATTGTGCGTTTAAGCAAGATAGTGAACAATGACACCATGTCGGTCTCTGCTTTGATGCTGGGCTACTTGCTTGCGGCACTTTTCCATTCTGCTGCAGAGCCATCCTGACATGCGCGCAGACAAGCATGCGGAACCCGTTAACCGGAGAGTAAAAAGACCGCATTGGACAAGGTAAAGGATATGGAGCTGCGCTGAGCTTGTTTGCGAACGGCTTCTACGACTGGATGGTTGGAATGAGTTGTCGGCCTGGTCGTGCCATCTTTGTTTGGCTGATACTGTGCCGCTTGTCGTCGATTGCCCGTTGCTAACTCAACTTCCTGGACTTTGGAGGACCATCTCGTGCTCTTCGGGTTTATGAGCTTGCCGTGCGGAATGTGTTTCTGGGTGGTCGACTATCTTGCATTCCCTAGGTCCGTCGCTGTTAGAGCAAAGCAAGTTATGGAGCGAGATGTAAAAGAAGACATACCATTTAGCATCGGGCTCAGTGTTCTTGAGATTGTCATAGAGGTGAAGGAGGAAGGAGTCCGACTTGGTTAAGCGGCGCCATGCATTCTCATGCTTCTGTCTACACCCATCTCGCAAGGCGACAAGAACGAAAAAGCGATCAGTATCCGCCGTTGGGACTCCGGAATCAGGGCGAACAAAGTAGGCGGGAAACTTGGTCGCTGCAATCTGGTTTTATGTATTAGTAAAATGAAGAGAGAAGAGGAAAAAGTAGAAGAAGTAGAAGAAGTAGAAGAAAGAAATGGGTTGCAGCTCACGCACCTCAATAGCCGCATCGTTGAGCCACATGCCATCTTGTACATTGATCTGATTATAGCAGTCGTATGACAGTTGTCGTCGTCTTAAGAAAGCTTGTTTTGCGTGTATGCAAGAGGATAGGTTGTAGAAAGTCCTCTGCCGTAGGAGGGTCAAATTGTTGATGATTCTCTTGATGATTCTCTTGATGATACTCTTGATGATTCTCTTGATGATTCTCTTGATGATTCTCTCGACGACGCCTCTCTTGACGATTCTCTTGTTGTCTCTCTTGATGATTGGCTTGTTTTCATTGACCCAGCCCTCACATGAGTATCCATCTCATCTGCGTTGGCAAAAAGCATGCCGAAACCAGTGACTGTGACGCAGGCTTCATCTGCGAGGCCCTTTCAACGTCCCTTGGCGTCGGGAAACCGATCAGCAACCGATTTTTGAGGCTTCTTCGAAGGTATAGCTGCATCCTCCGCGAGGGAATTCGACTCTGATCTCGGCTTGAACTGGGGCCTAAATTCCTCAACTGCAAAGATATAAGGTTAGAGCGCGTTACATATTGTGATTTTGGGAAAGGTTAACTCACAAGCATGACGGACTCCAAAGCCTTGTTGCTCGTCACAAGTCCGTCTTCTGGCTGAAGGGGGCGACTGAATACGGAGCCAATCTAAGGGTCCATATCTCTTCTCTTGTAGGAGCGAAACTTTGCGGAATTCAGTGGCTTTCATGTACTGCCATTTTGTAAGTCTTCCACAAGTCCCTGGCCTATGAGTATTGGTGTAGAATTGCTCGGCAAGAGATTGATTGGTGCCGGGGATTCTTCGATGGAGTTCTCCTCAAACCCTTCTGTGTACTCCTTACACATTTTGGATGGGATCAACTTATCAATCACGTCTGCCATGATTGATGCTTTTTGCTGAATTCTTTGGTATGGACTACAGCAGCCTCTGCCCAACTGTAGAATATCAATCCTCTGTGCAGTTGGTATTTTTGCACACTAAAAAATGTGGCAATTTCCTGTAACTTTTTGCCTCCTTTGCCTCCATGGATTGGGCAATGTCTCGTGTATAATCTTCATGGCTGCCAAGTGGCCGCGAAGAATGGTGCTGGATGCCCTCCGATTGGACGTGTCGTCGGTGTATGTGATCAAACAGCAACGTGTTTTGTGTATATGTAATTCCCATTGGCATGGCTAGACACCTAATTGGGAAGTCCACCGTTTCTGCATGCTCACATTGATCTGTCGTGAAAAACGGCTAGTTAAGGGAGCGAGCCAACGATATGCCAGCAACGTCTGTCCAACGAGACTGGTATTAATCACCAAAGTCTCGGGTTTCTCAGCCGCTGTCCAAGGGAATATTGGAACGGTAGAAGTCAATGTATCGTAACGGCCGGAACAGTAGCTCAAGTAGGGGGGATGGTAGAGGGAGAAATACGCATGCGCATACTCACGATGCAGGCTTTCGATGCGCCCGCCGTCTCATGGGTTCGGGGTATGAGGTGAGAAAGCGGTATGCAAATGCGATTATACTGCCCGTAGCTGACCAATTGTCGAAAGGGATGGGCGTCAAGTTGTAGGGATTGTAGATAGTAGGCATCTTGATAAGATGCAATGGGATTGGTGTTCAACCCATGAGAGGCCGAGTTCATGATTCACCATCTGGTCGTCCATGATGAGGTTTTCGTCTTCGCTCAATATACCCGAGACTGCTAAGGACTTGGCGGTTTGGTAATGTATCGCTTGTATTCTGGGTAGTTGTGTGTGCGAAGAATAGAGACCGGCCTTTTCCTTCATGGCCCACAACTGTATCGATTATCGAGAACAATCGGTCTGAGGGTTATCGCCTTGTCTAAGAGAAGTGAATGTTGAGAAGGTTGTATGGGCGGCGATCCTGTAGTAATGATAGCATGGATGCGTAGGCCGTTCTTACCCCTGGTCGGCGCAATGCTGCTGCTCCTCAGTCACTGGTGCTGCTTCGCTATCTTGTGATGAAGTGTAGCAATTTCTGACAGAGCTTTTTTGTGGCCTTTCCGCATGGCGAGAAGCTCCATACTCGCCATCGTCGGGTATTTTTCTTGTATGAAGGCATCTATGGCCCTGCCAGAGTCAATGGAGGCGGTGATATTGCAATTGCTGGCATAGACATGGGGCACTCCTTTGTAGATGATGTTGGAGACCATATCGAATAGCCCGTTGCCCATTCGTATTTGGGTTGGGAGGCAACACACAGGGATGCCATTGGTAAAGATGCAGCTTCAGAGCTTTAGAGTATCACATGTGAGCTTCGTCAACAATCAGAAGCCGATACCAGATTTTGCGCACCCCGGGGCAAACTTGGTACTCTACCAAGTTACCGTCTGTCACTGCCGTTTCGACCTCGCGTAGGAAGGGCGTCGATGTCCCTCAAGGTGGGCGAGTTACTGTGAGAGTGCTTGTGCATCTTGGACATGCAATCACTGGTCTGCCTTTAGTATGTAATACTATTTCATCGACAGACATAGTAGGTTGTGGCGAGGCGAGACTCTTTGTATGGTCTTCGTTGGCAGCTCGGAAACGCTCCATGCACGATATATGATCTGCGGCATACAGCCCCATCTGCTCTTTGCGCGCCTTCTCTTTCTCCAGGCGACGCGGAATGTCATGTCCGACATGTACATACATGGCCATGAGCTCGATGTTGGGCCGTCAGTATGTTCAGTTTTGTTCATGAGTTGCAGCAGGTTGCTTTGTGTTTCGACGTAAAGAGCGCTGTATAACCGATGTCTTTTTCTTCGACTGTCATAGCTCCGAGCTGTTCAGTGTCTCCGATGAAGATTGCTGGGTCTTTCGGATGTTGCAACGGTTCGACGAATGCGGCATTGAAGGAACTGGTCGTGCGGCTAGGTAGGTAGAGGACATTGTGTGCAGTGAGTTATTGTTGTTGCCGGTCGGTATTGACGTGAGGAAGTGTCTGTTACCAGGCAGCGAGCGCCAGATGGGCCAGACTCAACGCTGCCGGCTCGGCCAATCTTCCCCCTTCGTCTACAATAACAAGGGATGACGTGACGGTCTATCCATTCTAAACATAGTCAGTCATTGCCATTCCAGCTATGGCAGTTTCGACGACATGATCGTTGAGGGTAAAGTGTTCCAACAGGGCCAATGGCAGGAGAAAATTTACCGCAGAGCAAAGCTCGGTTGATCTCTTCTCTGTCCTCTTTCTTCTCATGCCAATGGAAGCGGAGTATTGAAGAAGAGTATAGACGGATGAAGTTGAATGACTCTCTCATCCCATTCATGCCCACCTTTGTAAACATGGCAGCTGGTGAGTGAAAAATGGAGGAGACGAATGAGAAAGGAAGAATATGGCTGCACTGACCTGGAAGAACGTTCCAGAGCCGACGAGGACGATGACACTAGCATCGTGATTCCGAGCACCCTGTGAAGTGTATTGGTCATACTGACAGTGAAAGTTGGTGATTGTAATGGTTGGCTAAGACGAAGTTTGGTGGAGAGAAGATGGGAGTATTTGGGTCAGAAGCATCCCCGTACTGTAAGGCGGATTCCGATATGGGACGGTTCGTCATGTATGATTCATTCAGGAAAAGTGTCAGAGTTGGTTGGCTTTATCCATCTGCTCCAAAGAGGTCAGTAGTCATGAGTCAATAGCAAACCAAATGTACATTGAGCTCACTCATACGGTGTAACAAAATGAAGGATAGTCTATAGCAGTAGTTGAGGTGACCACCGGTAGTCAACCTCACATCAGTTGTGCCAATCCCTCTGTAATTCGGTGGCCCATGGCATCATAAGCCATCTCGTTGGTATAGAAGAAGAGAGAGAATGAGAAGGATGGAAATTTGAGAAGACGGAGGAATAACAGGCCTTTATATAGCCAGTAATTTACTTGAATATAACATTGCAGAAGACAGAAAAGAGAGTCGACGTCATCTTTGCCGGGCCACGACATGACAGACAAGAGTGAATATGCTTCTTCAACCAGGCAACTAAATTCTCACCAACTTCGTGAAACGGCCACGTATGAGTGGCAACGGATAGAGAAGTTGGTATCCGCGCAAATTGTTCACGAGAGCAAAAGAGTGGAGGACGATTCAAAGAGTAGTGGCCTATCATCCCAGTAAGACGACATCAGCATATGAAGCACTAGGGATGCGAAAAGCCGCGACTCAATTCAACTGTTAACGTGGTATATCACATGTCATGACCTAATAGCATCAAGAGCTGTGAAGTGCTTGGCCATGAGGTCATCACCATGCACTCATCAGCAAGCGGGTAACCGCTGAAGGTAACCCGGAATACCGGTGAGAAGGAGGGGTAAAGCAGTCAATGATCAAGGCCAGGGCACGCGATTTGTTGGGGGCCTTTACGGTTGGTATCTGAAATTGTTTGGTTCGACGTTTGTTGTCGAAGCTATATCGTCTCATTCTATGTGACGGCGAATCGAATGCAAAATCGCAAGGATCCTTGAGCAGAAACGCCGCTGTTCTATTCGCGCAACGATTCGCCTTTCATTTCAGAGGGTAAACGTTGAGCGTTCTCTATCCTACGTAAGCCGCAACTGGCTCGCAAACTTTGTTGATGATAGTTTGAGATCAACTGTGGGCTTAGAATCGGCTTGCCGAGGGCAATAGTACTCGATCCAAGCGCAAAATCAAGGCAAGGATTGGATCATACAATTCTTCAGCCTGAGCATCGTCAAACACTGTGCATGCCGCCTCTTCCGTCTTTATGCTGTAACCTTTCTCCTTTCCTCCCTCAAGATTTGATAGTTGACAGCATGGAACCTTGGCTCCTTTTCACAGACCAACAGTCGCGAGTCGAGTGATAGTCGCCAAAGGACGGTTAGGATCCAATAGCGCTGAACGGCGTACGCTTGGCATACGTTGGGTCGCGAGCCTGGGGGCCTCGTTAGGGGCAGCACCCTTGCCGCAGATGTGTTTGTGCAACACTCGACATGGTCAACTTTTCGATTGCTTTTGTGAAACTTGGGTTTCGCCATGTCCCTATTCCGCCAGCGGGTTCGCGTGTATGGTTACTTTTTCTATGCGAAACGGTTCCTTTGGACGGCTCTTCTTGTCCACCTCGACGGCCTCCATCTTGGCCAGTGTGACGAGGCCCTCGTCGCCGATGACTTTGCCAAAGACGGTGTTCAAGCCGTCGAGATGGGGCGCCTTGTCAAAGGTGATGAAGAACTGCGAGCCGTTTGTGCCAGGCCCTTTGTTGGCCATGGAAACGAAGCCCCTGCCGGTGTGTCTCAGGGCGGGTCGTATCTCGTCTTCGAAAGGGGCGCCCCATATCGACTGCCCGCCCTTCGGATTCTCGGCAGTCGGGTTGGCGGGAGCTCCTGTCTGGACCATGAACTTTGGAATCAGGCGGTGGAAGGGCGACTGGTCGTAGTAGCCGGAGGCGCAAAGGGCGAGAAAGTTCTATCGCGGTTCGTTAGCGGCGCGTTCTGGAATCTGGAAATTGGACGAGGTTAAACATGCCTCGGCCGTCTTGGGGACGCTCTCGCAAAAGACCTCAATCTTGATGTCGCCCAGCGACGTGTGAAGCGTGACAGACATTGTGTCGCCGGACCGAAGAGTTTGTGTCCAACTGTGATATCCAGAGGGCAATGACAATGTTTGTTCTTGGTTGAACCAAAAGTTGATTTGCCATGGATGGCCAAAGCTTCAAGGCGGCGGTTGAAGCTCAGCCCAGTCTAAACCTCATTGGGACCGGGGTGGGCGCTAGTACTGTGTACAGGCAGCAGGTACTTTGCAGTGCATGGACAATATGGGTGTCACTCCACCGCAGAATTCGGGTTGAGGGGTTACATTGAGTTGAGGGACTGGGTATGCACAATGTGACATGTGGCCCGACTCTCGCCTGTTGGGGTTCTCGAAGGAAAAGAAAAAAAGAAAAAAGGGGGCAGAAAACGTGACGAAGAGTGAGGAATGCCGATGACGGTTGAGTAATCAGCGGTGACCGGGTGTTGAGCGTCTTATTGCTGTTCCTGGATATTGTTGGATCGCACGAGGCTGACTGCGGCTGTAATATTTGACAGCACCTTGGCAGAGCGTCTGAGTGCGCCCGATGGAGTACTTTGCGCTGCTAGGGACCCTTACCGGGAACCAAGCAAACACCAACTAAGCTTGGGTACCTACGAGTACTATCTTTAACTCAATCGACGTCAAAGCCACAGCGATCGTCTAGACAGGTAGTAGTACTTTGCCTATCTCGTCCATGTAATCCGTTTCCGGACACAGCCAGCATACGTATACACGTGCATTATCAATGTACAGGATTTCACGGGTTTTTAGAGGAATCAAAGCGCTTCAAATCCATATCCAAATGCAGGCCCTTGCATCTCTCTCCTCCTCCTGCTCCCATTATGGAGCTCGCCAAAAAAAAAAAAAAAAAAAAAAAAAAAAGCCTTGCCGCCCCCCCTGTCGCCGCGGTAAGAACTGGCAAGGGGACAAGATGCCCGGACGGTGACGCAGTCCAACGGGCCAACGAACGACAGGCACGGTGATGATATTATTACAGGTCCATTTTACTGCAAGAGTACGGGGAACGGCAGAGGCCTGGCGCTGCAAATAAGCCGGACATGTACGAGGTACAGGTACGGGCTAAATCGCATACGACGCTGGTACGAGGGCGACTAGAAGCAGCATCGATGAGAATGAGCCCTACCCGTCGAGTTTACTCGCAATGGTTTAATTCGGCTTATTCTTGTAATTTCTTCTCCGTATTAGAAGAGTGTCATGAGTTGTATCCAAGCACGTGCACGTGGTTGAAAGGGTCATGGCCATTATCTCACCTCGCTCGTATGCGGAATACACGTACCGTAGATGTCATGGACCACACCATCCATGATTTCTCGAACCACACACAGCGTACCTCTGCCCTACGGCAAACAGGAACAGGCTGAATCCAGAGTGGACGGAATTAATCGCGGGGTACTTTGCCGTATCCTTGGATGGGCCAGATGGAGCCTCAGCCATGGCGCCAGCGACTCAACAGGGCTCAAGTCTGTAAGATATTAATGGAACGGCCTACCTACATGCACATAGTATGAGCCTGCGGCAGATTGTCCATGAGCAAGACAAGACACCCACGCCTTGCCGGGCCGCACACCCAAACCGCAATCCTATTCTGTTCCTTGCCTCGAGCTGAAACCAGCAGCGAGCATCTCGAATTTCCCCTTTGGCGACGACGGCGGGAAAGGAGGTGAGACGGACAGAGAGAGACAGACAGACAGACAGCACGCAGCTTGACTGAAGCTTGCTTATACCGAGCTCGCCCTGTGTGTGTATGAGGGAGAAATATTTGCCGGTGGTCTTCTGTCGGCGTCGCTCGTTTTCTGCTTTGCTCTGCTCTGCTTTGTTTTGCTCTGCTCTGCTTTGTTTTGCTTTGTTTTGCTTTGCTTTGCCTTGCTTTGCTTTGCTTGCTCAGCACGGCTCATTTTGCCTTCCATCCCCTTCTCCTCTCACGCTCGCTCGCTCGCTCTATTTTCTCTCTCTCTCTCTCATTTTTCTGGCCCCCGTTTCCCGCCTCGACAAGCTGCTGCTCCTCCTGGACATAATTAGCTCCATCAGTAAGCTCGAGCTTTCCTGTCCCTCAGAGGCGCAGGCGTCATCTCAACCGGGTCCGGCGCCACAAGCCCCCCCCGCCGCGTGCTGTCGAGCAATCTCACCAACCTGCCCCAACCGGCGCACAATCCCAATTTCTGCCGCCCAATCTATCGCATCCCCGAATCCGAAATCCTCCCAAGTACCTGGTCCTGTCCAGTAACTGTAACTGTAACTGTAGGTGCTGTCATCCTGTCCCCCCTTCAGCCGTCCGTCCCCTGTTTTTGGCACAAACCCGGCGCCTCGTCTCGTCAACTCCCAGCAAGTTGGCAGAGCAGAGCAGAGCCGCTGCAGCTCCACAGAAGCTAATGCATCTTGCGCCCAGTCCCCGATTTCAGCTGTTCGACGAGGGTCGCCCATTGCTCGAGCCGCCTTACCTAAACCACCCCCCCAAAAGCACCGCTGCCGCTGCCGCTGCTGCTGCTGCCTCTCCTCCTGTCAAGCTCCCGCTCGCCCTTCCAACCGTCCCCTTTGCGACAATCTCGACACCTGCAGCGCCGGCGCGCCGAGGCTGATGCTGACGCTGCTCTTGGAATTGCTGAGCCCTGCTGAATGCGAATGCGACCCGGTCTAGGCGATCCGATCCCGCTGGCACGAGCCCTGTGAACCAGGAAACCCACCCATCCGCAGCGTGCCAACCCCACCTTGGCATCGACCCGCCTGTTCTTCTTTCTTGTGTCTGCGTCCTGCGTCTGCGTCTGTCTTGTGTGCGAAATAGGGTACAGTCCGATATCATATCGCGACAGCTGCTCACTCACCCGAGGGGCCTATGCCTGCTGGTCATCTGCTGTCGGCCCAGGCTTGGGGGATCCAAACACAACTTCCTCCCACGGCTCCGAGCCCGCGATTCCACCTCCGCCGCCTCGACGCTCCCCTGACATTCAAGCACCCATCTCCAGCTCTGCCGCTGACGTCTCCGCCGCCCTCCGCGCATTCGTAATCCTGCGACAGCCGCGACGACTGCGACGACCACCACCTACCGCGATAGCATGGCGACCACGCCAGCCAGCGTCCGGGTCTCGGGCCCCCCAAACAGGAGCTTTCTCGTGGGATATCCGGGCATCTCTGCGACTCTGGTACGTTGGCGGTAGCCTGCCATACCTCCCCTCGCCGGCTCCGTCTCTGGTCCGGGGGATGCGACCAAGAGGCTCTGCGTCAAGACAAGCTTGTGCTGACAGCTAACCATTCTACAGCCACGGATAGAGGGCAAGGTTGAGATTCGACCGGGCCATGGCTACTCCATGCCCGTGCCCGTGTCTTTAGTACGGATAAGCCTCCAGAAGCGCGAAACCATACACCCCGACGCCGACAGCCTCACCAAGCGACATCTCGGCGCCCCCCGAAAAGAGACGACGGATGTCGTCGGCAAGGAGGTGCTATTATTTAGATGCTCGTCGGGCAAAGACGCCGAAAACGTCATCTCCATGGACCTACCCTTTGTCATCTTCATCCCCTTCGGCAGGGGCGGAGAGGAGACGAACCGAAGAATACCGCCCGCGTCCCTGCAGCTCCCTAGTAGGATCGCTGAGACGTACTACGAGCTCGTGGTGACAGTCCAGCAAGGCCACAGCAACCAATACAGATACAGCTTTCCGCTCCCTCTCCTCCGATACGACACCTTGTCCACCTTTGGCATGTACAACAAGCCTGAAACGAAGATGATTGCGAGCGACAACCTCGTCAACCTGGGCATCAACCTACCGCGCTGGAGCTACGGCCCCAACGATCCCATTACCGTATACATCAAGATATCTCCCAACCCCGACTGGTGGAAAAAGGCCCAGAAGGTCACCATAGACAAGATCACGCTGGGCATAGAGGAGGAAATAACCTTCAACCCGGAGGGCGACGAACCGACCAAAAAGGTCAATAAGCTAGCGAAGCAAGTCCAGGTTGTCAAGACAAAGTTACCGGAGGCCGGATACGCAACCAACATTGGCCTGGTGTTTCCCTCAAAGGATCTGAGAGACCCCGACGGCATCATCAGGAGGGGCAAGCCGGCCTTTCCCCAATACGAAGTTGTCTCATTTACTACCTCATCAACCCTTTATAAGATTGAGTTTTATCTCAACATCAAGGTATGATCTCTCTTCTGTCCTGCGTTTGCACTTGCTTTTCTTCAAAGAGAGCCATCACTTACGCAGCTCCGTGTAGGTACAATTGAGCGGTGCTAGGGACCTCCAAATACGACAACCCATCGTGATATGCCCCCTGGATCAACAGGGCTGCAAGGAGGAAATGGACGCCATCGAAATCGCCGCCCGAGAGGCCTCGCATGTCGACCCGAACAATCCCATGCTTCCAGCCCACTCAATCGTCCTAGCCAACGACCGAGACTCGCTACGGGCCTTGGGCCTGTGTATGGTTGGTGGCCAGAAGAAGCCGTTTATCGAGTGATTTGACCGACTTTACAACGGGCCAAACTCAGCATGCCCGACCGGCATGGTGAAATGAGAATTTAAAAAGAGTCAGAAACGATGTGCGCCAAGAAGTGAATATCTCTTCGACTACCGCTGCGTCGCAAAGAGCAACGCATACAACATGTGCCTTGCCACAAGCGTTCGAACACCTCGGAGCATACTTATTCAAGCACAAGGAGCGATAGATGATCAATCTGACCCGTCGGCGAGATCAAGCCGAATTCGATATCGCAAAGCGTCCGCGCAGCACCCACTGGCCAGAGAGTTTTTGAAAAAGAATACGATTGGCTAACAACAAACGGTACACCATATACCCATTTGAAAAAAGGCGTTTTTTTTTTTGGTTTTTCTTGTTTGGTCCCTTGAGGTGGGAAGTGGGAGCGGCTTCTCTATATTTGACTCAAGGCATAGTGCATGGCGTTTCTAGGCCACCTCGGACCGCTTGAGGTCCGAGAGGGAAAGGGGAGAAGTTTTTTTTGGGAGGAGGGCTTTTATTTTGGAGACGCTCGCAAGCTGGCTGGGACAATACACGGTTTTTGGCACATTGAATGCGCTGGATATGTGCTGGGAATGGGTTCCGGGGTGGCGGCTTCTGTTATATAAAAAATTTCCTGAAGCTGGCCTTTCTTTTTTCATGTATTCAACGATGACGAGGCTGACGAGATACTGGACTTCTTAATACATGTACTGTAGTATATATATTTCTTGGAGGAGACTGGTTTTTGAGGGTGTGCTGTACGTTTTTTGTCAAGCTGGTTGGTGGAGGAGAGGGGGGGATATCCATCTCACTAAAGAGCAGTAATTAATACCTTATTCATGTATGCAAGATGCACAGGAATGATATAAAAGTTAATGAAGGAACCAGCCATAGCCAGAGGTGCAACTTTACCACCACTGGCACTTCCTGGCAGCTGAAACGCATTTATCTGAGAAAATCGGCACTTTCTACTTTCTTCTACGACATTTCAAAGCTTTTATTATTCTCTTTTCCCTCCCTGGTCTTTCTCTCACCTCTTCTTGGTCATGTTGCTCCTCCGTACGCAACTCTGAAGGGGATCAAACGAATTGTGCAGCATCTCAACGCAGAGCACCATTTGCTGAGCGTCATCAGGGCTGCAATCCCCCTCCGAGCTTCTCTTTGTGTTTTGTTCATGGCAATTCTCTAGCCATGTTGTTTTTATACCACTTGCTCTTCTCCTGTTATTTGTAGCTTGGTATTTTCCAATCATCAACTTCTCGTTTTCGGATAATGACACTTCCTCAGCGGTTTTCCATCCAGATAGGCCACCAGGTATGAACTCCTTCTGCAGTATCATTGAGATACACTGCCAAATATCTCAATATTGTGCATGTTGCCTTGCCATGAGGATTCGCCTTTGGGAAAGAGAGCGGCACCGTCTATTTCTCAGGGTTTTTTTTTTTGTATGAACAAGTAATATCATCGAGCTCATATGTTCCATTCAATGCAAATCAACGAGGTCCATCCATCATGAGCAAGTAGTACACAAAGACAACCTTGACTCTGTGACCGAGATAGTGCGTATTATAGAAGGCCACTCTAATATTCGAGAGGGATTCACAGAAATGGATATGTATGTGTAGACATCGTTTATTTCCCAGTGACTTGAAGTGTCATTACAGGTTAAATGGACTGGTGCCTTCTGGGACTAGCTATCTCCCTGTGCCACCTAGTCTGATATATTCGTATTGGCAAGTCTACGCTACCTCAACATGCAAAGTAGGTACCTACCCAGTAGTAGGTGATATACCGTAGCTAATTCACCAGTACATATGTAGATTCTCGCACATTTCGTTGTGTCTTAATTAGTCCGAGCTGGTTAAGGAAAGTATGGTAATAGTCGCACAAACATGCCAATGGGTCAATCGAAGTCATAATTGCAAATCGTTGGTAATGCCGAAGGAATATCAGTTGTTGCGCCGATGGTCTCGCATTTGCCAACCACTACCAGAGTTCATTGGTAGTAAACTGGCAGTCTTTAGGCGCAACTACTACGTGGAATCTTTTTGCATATACTGGTGGAAAGCCAAGTAGAGATAATTAGAAAAAAACACCGAAGGGACGCTAACAGTCAAGTATGTTTGGGCGACTACTGGAAATCTCAAAGCTGCAGCATTCGTTGCGTCGTATGTTGAACGAAAATGTTCAACAAATACCTTGGCGAGTATTCATTTGTGTGAGAATATGGCTTTCGGGGACAACCCATGCCCAAAAATGCGAAATAAAACCAACGAAAGGGAAACGGAAACCCTTTTGTAGAACTTGATTCCCTGTGCCAGAGCTCTCGATAACATCCTTGAATGATAGATACCACACCTCTTCTACAACTACCCAGTTGCCAGCTACCACAACTGCTTTGCACGAACCGGAAACTGTCCAAGAAGATGCTTTTTGTAAGCATCTGGGACACGCTCTTCAGGGCTATCAAGGATCATCTCAAACCCAGTATAGGCCGCTTTAAGCGCTGTCTGCCACTGCATGAATAGTCGATCGGTGAACCCAAGGCGAGGAAGCTGGTCGAGTTCCCATAAGCGTCGAAGCTCTTGTGATCGAGCAATGGCCTGGTCTTGCAGAGCTTTCGTGCCCTAAACGTAGCCACATTAGTTAGTTATAAGAACCAAAGGGATTACTGTGGTAATGTTGAACATACAGAGCGGCGAACATTAGGGACTGGCGCTGGGAATTGTTGAGCCAGCAAGGTGGGCATCTTTGAGGGTATTCAGGGGGAAGTGCCCTCGTCGTCAACCTTTGAGGCTGATTTCTATATTCTGTTTTCTTCCTCCTCCATATCATGCTGCCATATTAAGTACTCTGGAGCTTCTATCGATGGCAGGTAATGAAAATATGTAGATGTATCGGATATTTGTTCATGGCTCGGGGACATTTTGCCTCCTGTCAATAAGAAGAAGAAGGAAAAGATTAGGTTGTTGAAGAGTTTCAGCACTTGTGAGGAGTCTTTCACTATGACCAGTCGAGACTCATCGTTAGGTCTCTGTTTGAGAAGATATTTTATTTTCCAAACCCATATCCCATGTCTTGAAATGCCCTTTTCAGTTTTACTTTATTTCTCATCATCATAAGTTAAAATCAGTGTTTAGTTTGCCTCAGCCTCAGCCTCCGCCTTGGCCTCTTCCTTTTCAGGCTCCTCATATCCCTCAACCTTCATATCTGCCAGACCCAGCTCCTCCTCTTCCTCCTCCGTCCTCGTGTATCTCTCCTTCTTGATCTTGGGATCTGGTGCCGGGGGGTCAACCAGCGACTGCACGTAGCTGCTGGCAAAGGGATCCGTCAGGATGACGGTAAAGGGCTTGGTACCCGCAATGGCGTTGTCCAAGTTGGCGAAGAACTTGTCCCACTGGGACTTCTCATCGGAGCGAAGGGAGTCGCCACCCTCGCCAGCCTCAAAGATCTGGCTGTGGAGATCGTTACGGACCTGCGTGAGGAGACCCTCGACGGTTGTGAAGCGGCCGCCTAGGGTACCTGGGTTGACGTGCAGCTCGAGCTCGGGGCACTCGAGGCCGCAGGTCTCGCTCTTGAGGATGTCACGGGCGAGATCAATATCGCCGTCGACCTCGAGGATGATCTTCTCGCCGTAATCGGGGATTTCGCCACCGGTCTTGACGTCGTTGGAGCGGTAACCGCAGGCGTCGCACACAGTCGACATGAGCACGACTTGCTTGAAGTGGGGGATGTCGACCATCTTCATGTGTGTTGTGCAGGAGTGCATGCAGCCGGGGCATGTGGCTGGGAAACTGTAGACCTCGTTGGGGATGATTTCGCCATCCTCAGTGAGGCCTGGGTTGTTGAGTGTGGGGTCGGCGTTGGCGTCGCTGTCCGCGAGACCGAGGGCCTGGTTCTGCTCAGGAGTACGGGCGTATTCGTGCTTCTCCCACTTGCCAACACCGTCCTTGAGGTCGGGCGCGATGAAAGAGTTGCCGGCAGGGTCGTCGACGTAGACGCGGAAGGGGAACGAGTCTCCCGCCAGCATGGCCCTGCTCTTCTTGATAATCTCTGCAACCTTGTCGAAGATTTCAGGGGCCTGCTCCTTGCGCGCCTCCTGTCCCATCTCCAAGTCGTCAACGACGCCTGTTAGTAGGCCCTCAATATTTGTCAGCTGGCCGCGGCCTGCAGGGATTTCGAGGTCGATCTCGATGAACTTGACGGTCGCGGTGTCGGATTTGACGACCTGGCGAGAGAAGTCGGCGAGGGCGGTTAAGCGCAGTTCGTAGTGTGTGCCCTTGGGCTGAATGGTTCCGGCTGGCTGGATCTCATTGTTCTGGAAGTTGCAGTGGTCGCAGGAGAAAGACATGATGACGACCTCGCGGAAGTAGGGGATCTGGGTAAGGAGGAGCCTTGTCATGCCCTAAAATCTTGGTTAATCTATGATCACGGCGTCTCGGGAGGGCTTGAAGCATATGGCGACTGACATTTTCGTGGCAGTTCATGCACAGCGACTCAATCTCGTCGACGGGCTTGATATCATCATCCTCGGCGGCAGCGCCATCGGTTCCAGTTGCCAGACCCTGCGCCTGGTTTCCGATAGGCTCGAAGAAATTCTGCTTTTCGCTTTCGGCAGCCATTTTGATTCGGGTATTGCGAAAACACAACGAAGAAGAATGGAGAAAAGAGACGAGAAAAAAAAAGACGACTAGAAAAATTGAGGTTGTCGCAAAAATGCACCCTGCAGTGTTTTGGCTGGACGGCGGGGTCTTAAATTTTTTGGAGGGGCAATTTTAACGGTCGCGGTTATGTCATACGGGCTGGCCTGCACTAGAACGTTCCCGATGCATCTGCCTGGCGCTGGCGCATGAAAATCAGGTGCTTCGTTTCCCACTGCTCTTCAACATTCAGCGCTGCCGTTATTCGAGATGAGAATTTTGTCGTCATGGTCGCCAGATAAGGATAGTTGACAAGGTCATGGATCATTGATATGCCGATTTATTTCATCATAAAGTCCGCAAGTGATAGCGAGTTCGATTGGCGCTGCTGGCCAGAGAGCAAAGCCTGCAATCCCGCCTTGCGATTCTTGGCGCGCTTCTTGCTGCTCGCGTTCGCAGTGGCTGGTTTTTGTGCCTCGACGTTGCCAGTGGGCTTTTGCATCTTTGCCTTGGAAGCCTTGTGACGCGTGATAGGTTCGGGAGCCGAAAGGGGGATTCTGGTGACTCTGGCGCAGAAGCCACACGTCCAATCCTTGGATCGCTCTCGCGCAGAGCCAGGTTTTGTCGTTTTGGAAGCCCGTGTCTTTCTCCTCGTGGCCCTCAGTGTCTCCAATTTCAGTTGAGTTCCTTGTCCGGGGACCATGATGTGACCACAGGCAGCGCAGACATGCTGTCGTTCAAGGTCTGAGGGCGCCATGTCGTGAGAGTATAGAAGCCCTGCCCTCTGGCTCAGGAGATGCGCCGATGTCTCTGGAGCTGCATCTCGAAGCAAATGGGCAGCGTCCGTGAGGAAGGTGATTGCCGAGGAGTTTGCGGTGACGGCTGCCATGTGGTGAGTTGCGCTGCTCCGTTCCGTTCAGCTGCTGCAGTAAGTGAAAGCGAGGACAAGTTGGAAGCTTTTCAAGTTCAGCACCGTGATGGACAGGTGTGGGGCAGGGGTGTCTTGATGATTTTGTGGGGAGTGCATTTAATCGGGCATTGAAGCACTTCTACTGTGATGCGCAGTTGGACGAGCTTTTCGATCAGGTATTTATTTGCTAAACTGGAATCAACAGTTGTACATTATGCTCTCCTTATTTCCCATACCAGCTCCTTGATGCTGACCTCCTCGCTCGCCTTTTCGTCATAGTCAAACCATTCTCCGTCTATCAGCTCAATTCCGGTAAACTTGGTGCCGGAGTCAATTCCATCGGCCAGCCACTCGCCCTGTTCAAACGAAGCATCATCAGCAACGAATTTCATATGCTCAGTTGGGGATGAACCATTGACATACCTCTGCCTTGAACTCTGTAAACTCCAAACCTCTGCAGTCAAACTCAAACACCTTTTGCGCCTTTGGGGGCTCTCCCTGCTCATAGGCTGACGGAGCTGCCTTGATCGTCGCGGATGACTCTCGCTATAAGAAAACAAAGCATGTTAGAATCCATCCAGAAACTTCATAAGAGTAGCCGCAGAATATACCTTGCAGTTCTTGCATCTCCAAACAAAGTTGGCCTCGCCCCGACTGCCGCTCATTTCGTTGGTTTCCTGCTCAGGAATGTGAGTTTCGTGGACAGTATTCGATATGAGAGATTAACGCACGAAGCGGTTTACTCCAACATAATTCTCATGAGTCTCTCTGCAAGACGTACACTGGACCTTGAACATGTACCAGAACGGGTTGTCTTGCGTATCATCGGGGCGCAAATTTGTCACGCTGTTTTCATGTGAGTGAATGCATGCTATGAGATCGCGGGGCAAAATCAGAGCACAAACCCCGTCAGCTCTGCTGTCAGTATAAGGGCAAACATTTTTGCGTATTTCCAAGCTTTGACGTATGAAAAGAGGCTTTGGAAAGGAATCAAAGAAGAAAATAAATACCAATTTCGTGATATTTTCTGCTCCGACTCCCATGAATTACGCATGTTGTAAGAGAGGTCAATTTCATCAGGTGGGGGAATTGGCAAATCACGTGACGTCGTAGAAACCTCTCTTGGAGCATCGTTCGATTTTCGTGGATTTCCATTACACTTAGAGCTTCGACGTCAATTGACGGCCATAACTCGCGCTGCCTCACTCGGAAACCTCATCTGTGCCTACAAATGCCTGGGTGATGCAGACGATTCTCTCCAGAGCCGGAAAGGCTCCTCGCAGCGGGTGCAAGGCCTGCACCAGCGCCATTGAGACCCTGGGCAAGAGACCGGTCTCTGCTCGCCGCAAGCCGACGTTCGCCGAGCTCTTCACAGCATGCTACAGCTCGGTATTCGCCACGGCAGCATTGGTAGATGCTGTCAGGAAGGATGATCGCAGGAAAGAGCTAGATCGTCAGCTAGACGAAGTTCGAAAGGAATTGGCCGACCTTCAGGATGGCCGGCAACGGCCCAGCTCGGACGACGACTCAACAGCTCCGGAACTCAGTCTTCGACAGATGGATACGCTATGGCAGAGCCTAAAGAAGATATACAACAACCGCCCTTACATGAAGGAAATACACCAACCAGCAACCATAAGCGCATCCGATCTTGTCGAAGCTTTAAAGCACGAACACTACGGCTGTTCAGACGGTCCGTTGCGGAATCCCAAGAGGCAGATGGATTACGATAGGCTTGAAGGTGCAATAATGCAAGAGGAGAGTGCGAATGGGAGATATTACCGAGAACCCCGGAATCAGGCCCAGCTGCTCCGCGAATCCCTGAGTACAGAGACCCTTGTTCGGAAACTTTTGGACCGTACCAGATATCTCCCCGAGGACCAGTCCGGCCCCTCGCTTCAAAAAGCCCGGACTTTACTGGAGAAAGGAAGTCAGGGTTTCACATTCCGATCTATCGACTCAGCTAGAGCTCGGGACAACACCATCCTATTGAACAAGCGCCTGAGATCTTTGGCTGCTTCCTCGAATCTCAATATGAAGGAGAAAGTTGGCAGGATTTGCTATAACTTGCTAGTTTCGTCACATCCGCCAGATATACACACCTACAACACGCTCATTGTTGCGTTCAACAAGTCAGGCCACCATTCATTTGCCGAGGCGCTAGTAGCTTCGTTCTTCCAATACCGACTGCTACAGCCTACACCATCCACATTCATCGCCATCTTAAACCATTACCAATGCACTAATAACCACGGAAGATTTTTACGAGCACTCGCATGCATAACTGGGCTCGACAATCGAACTGGCGCAAAAGTTCGCCGGAGGCACGTATCAGACATTGAAGAAAACCCAAATCTTCTACCTTGGGCGCTGGACTCTAGACGCCGAACTCTGACCGGGGACTATATCTGGGACCATCTACCACTTTCACAACCTTTGGTAGAAGAAATCATTGGCGGTCTGCTTCACTTCAAGCTCTTTGACCAGGCTGCGGCGTTTTTCATTTCATGTGTGCATTCTGGAGTAAACCTGAGCTTGGATTTAGTCAAATACTTCCTTGACGAATGCATCAATGCTCTGGACTGGAAAGCTGCAGTTCGATTGACGTCCAGCTTCGCACGCTCCCAGTCGACTTTGCAGACGCTGCTTAAAGTGGGAGGGGATGGCGAGAATACCTCGTACGTTGCTGAGCGAATACGAGTTTTGTTGGACATTTGTGGTCTTGGTGGTCCAGACAAGCCGTCAAAGTCTCTTTTAGTCAACTTGAAGGTTTCCGGCCCCTCATTTACGAAACTCCTCAACACATTGGCCCAAGAGGCCGGGCCCCCAAAAGAGAGGCCATCCTCTGAGAAAGAGATATACAGGACCAAAAGCAGAGTGCTGCAGCTGGAGAGCATATGGAAAGAGTATGAGTTTGTGAGAAAAACTACGATATCCATTGAGAGCAAGCTCCTCTACCCCGAGTTCTCACGGACCTTTCGAGCTTCAATGGCACTCCACATTGGCAAGACGGCCACACAAAGAAGCGAGCAGTTGGACCAAGAGCTGACACAACTCATGGAGAGTACCGCTTTGATTGGATCGACACCGCAGTCACTTCTAGAGAGTGAAGATGCTACACCCCTTCCCGAAGAAGTCGCGCACGCACAGTCAGGGACGTCTTTGCCTGTACATGCGACAAGGTCTGATAAATTCGAATTGTTCGACCATGGGAACACAGTTGAGTCCAAGCTCACGAGACCGAGGCCTGGGCAATTACTCCCAGCTTGGCCGACTTGTCTACCAAGTGAAGACAGCGTGCTTCGGAGAATGGCTGTGACTAATGAGAGGATGATGAGAACTGAAGGATGAGAGAAGGAAGAAAGAAGGGAAAAAACGACAGACTTGAACCCAAACTTTCTATCATTATCTACGGAGAACTACTTGTCGTGTTGTATTACTGACACCCAATATTTGTATATGGAACAGTTGGTGATGGCCAACATTTCTCGCGTGTTGCATACCGGCGCTTTCTGGTGGGAGGGGAACTGGAGAACTGGGGCTGGAAAGCCACCAATTACTGTCCAGTACAAGCATGACGATGATGACCGCATCAATTACCCAAATTCAATGCTACTGTGGCACGAGTTTAATAACGATCAATGTGTCCAACTTCCATTTTTATCTTGGTGATTCTCCAGCTGCTAGTCATCGTGTGTTCAGATCTGGAGAAGTGGCGGTGGCTAGCGCCGAAAAATATCGATGCTTACAGTGCTGTTGGTACCGTGTTAGGTTTGTTCCGAAACCCAGCGCCACAGTGATGCGCGGGCGTGCCTGGAAGTGCCTCAGCCCACTAACTCTCAGCGATCTCAGCGATCTCAGCGGGCATGCCACAGTGAGACAGCAGCAAAGCGAACTGGCCTGGCGGCAAGACCGGAATGGAAGAGCCGGCTCGGTCACGAGGCGCGGCGTGTCCACTCAAGCATCGCATGTGCTCCATGTGCTCCAACGGCTTCATGTCACTGCAAGGAATCTCTCAGGGGGGACTCCAGAAGGCGACACGGTGCTCCACCGGGGCGAGTGGCGCGCAGCTTCGATTCAGGGTCCTTTTGGCTTTGGGTAAGTGTCGGTTTTTTTTTATCGCAGCGACTGGGTGAATTGGTCTGTTTGCGAGATGGAGGCTGTTGTACTAAAAACCTCCAGTCTCTCGCCTACCGATACTTATGACCGCTAGTGACGCTGCCAAAAGTGGGTGGTGATGGATGGGGTGGAGAGAGTCAAACAGTCTGATTCATCTCTTCTTCCTCTTTCCTCTTTTTTCCCTCCTCCAAAGGAGCCATCTCCACCGGACGACGTTGAAAAAGGCGGCGTGGCCTCCGAACATCGCTTCTGCGGACCCTGTCCTGTCCTGTCTGCCGCATGTCAGATGAGCCTTGCCAGCGAATAATTCACCTTCAAGTCCCAAGAACACGGACGTGTGACCGACGCCACTGGCTGCTCCCTGCGAGCCGTTGTTGGACATTGCGAGCAATCCGTTGCTGGTCGAGAGAGACCGAGCTGCTTATCATATGCGTCTGCGATAACACGCAACCCGTTGTGCTTGTGCAAGTAGGTCCTCGGCTTCCCACTTCCGCTCCGTCATCATTCACTCCCCCCCGTGAGTTTGCGAGAAATTCTAGACTCAGCGCCGCCGGGCTATGGATTGTTTGGTGGCTACCCGCATTTGTTAGAGCTTGTTGAGGAACGTGGAGGCTGGTCATCATCACGCGGTCTGCTCTGCTCTGCTGTGGTCTACCTCTTTTACCTTGTTCTACCGCCCCTGCGAATCCAGGCTCGCTGTCTCTTTTCCGCGCTCTAACTTTCTTTCTCCAGTTCTCACCGGTCCTTTTGTTGAAAATTGGCGGGATTGCGCTTCTACTTTTGTGAGTAGTAACATTCTTCTACCCTCCCGATAATACCATACCGCCACAATCTGGATCGCCGTTCATACGACGATTTGATACGCATACAAACTGCCCCTCCATCAGAAGTCGGGAAAAAAAAAACGTCTGACAGAAACCCCCACACAGAGCTCTGACCAATCAATCAGCATAAGCAGGCTGAGAATAAGAAGCATACCGAAGGAGGAAAGATAGGAAAAAATCGGGCGAGCTGGGAAGAAAACATGAAGTTTGGACGAAAGTGAGTTGCTCGGGGTCAATTGGAGGCATTCACTGAAACGGCCCTCTTCCAAAGCCTTCCGCGAAACCAAGTCCCTGAATGGGCCGGCGCCTATATCAACTACAAGGGCCTCAAGAAAATCGTCAAGGCCGCCGCCGAGAAAGCCCGGAATGGCAAAACCGTAGATCCAGCAGGTGGGCTGCCTTGAACGCTACTCTCCCTTGTTGAGGCCGAGCCTCCTCCCTAACTCATTCCCACGCAGAGCTTTCCTTTGCCCTCGACCGTAATCTTGAAGATGTCGACTCCTTTTATAATAAAAAGTACGCCGAGGCTTGCCGACGCGTCAACCTTTTACAGAATCGCTATGGACGCGTGCCCGATGTCGTCGCGACCCTGGACCAGGACGAGATTGAGGAGGTCATGGGTGCGCTCTTGGAGCTGAGAAGCCAGTTGAGAAACCTGCAGTGGTTTGGTGAAATAAACCGCAAGGGGTTTGTCAAGATCACGAAAAAGGCCGACAAGAAGGTGCCCGGAATCGCCTCTCAGCACAGATACATCTCAACAAAGGTTGATCCAAAGCCTTTTGCGCGGGATGGAAACGTCGTCAGACTTCTCAGCGAGATCAACCGGTGGCTTTCGGTGTTGGGAGACGCGCAGAACATAGATGATTCCACGTCAGAGCGGTCTACTCATTCCCTCGGTAGATCCTCTGCCAGGGTATATCTTCATATGCCACAGGGCCAGCTCGATACTCTGGAGCAGGCTGTCCGCAGCAATGACGTTGAGTCGCTGAAATCCGGATTGGCTGATGCTCATGTCGTCTCGTCAGAGACTTCGTCACAGCCATTGTTGCTCAATCTCTTGCAACGGTCGATTTCGGGAAGATCCCGGGCCTGTATTGCATATCTTTTGCAACATATCAAAGATCTCGATGAGCCAGAAGACATCAATGGACGGAATTGCATCCACCGCCTAGTCATTCACATTGGCCGCACCAAATCTGCGCCCACAAACGAGGACGCCAATACGTACCCCGTTCCTGTTGGCACACATTTCAACAACAGGCATCTGCAGCCTGCTGTCTCCTCTGCTGTCCAAGTCAAGGAAATAAACAAGCACGAATCCGCTCTGCTCGGAAAGGACGATGAAGCTGTGCAGATCCTTGAATATCTGTTTGACAATATGTCTGAAAACCAGCGAGCCGCTCTGAAGAGCCCTGACACCTTTGGCCGGCTACCGCTGCACTATGCTGCCCAGTTTGGATTCGTTGTTGTGTGCCAAATTATCATGGCCAGGATGCAGCAGTGGAATCAATTTGACGTCAAAGACGGAATCGATGCCCCTGAGTGGCAGGACAGTGATGGATATGCGCCGCTCCATCTCAGCGTCATCGGCGGCCATCCTCTGACCACCCAGGCTCTACTCCAGGGCGAAAATTGGCAGGGCAGCAGTGAGGCCAAGCCGGAAATCCGAAAGACGGTTGCCAAGTCTGGCGCCGTCCTTGCGCTTGCTACCAAATCCAACTACACTGTTATTGTCAAGATGCTTGTCGATGCGGGTGTGAATGTTAACTGGACCGACAAGACGGGCGAGACGGCTCTCCACGTTGCCGCCAGGTTTGGGCATGATGAGTGTGCTCGTGTCATCCTGGAGAGCAAGTTGCAAAAGGCCGATGTGGAAATCACAGAGAAGTCCTATGCCTGGACCCCTTTGCACGTCGCTGCGGTTGACGGCTCCCTCTCTGTTGTCAACTTGCTCATCGATGCTGGGGCGGATATCACCAAGCCAGATGCATCTGGCTGGACAGCCACTGAGCATGCCTCTTTGCGTGGTCATATGCAGATCGCGAGGCTTCTCGCGGCTCATACTGACGAATCAGAGGCGGCTGTCAGAGCCGTGACTGCATCTCCACCATTGAACCCTACAGAGATCTCATCTTCCATTGACGGCCGTCGTTCGAATGAATCTCCACCGGCGCCGCGACCAGCTGAACTTGTCAAGACGTTTGGTCATCGTTATCTGACCAATGAAAGCCTGGTCTTGGTTAGCCTTGGATCTATGGATATTCGAAAGAAGCTTGATGCGGTAACTCTTGATAGCGTTCCTCTGGCAGAGGCACACAACACGCAGCTTGATACAGCTTTGTCCGTCGTAGTGACCGCCAACGGGGCTCAGGGAGAATCAACTATTATTGATCTTCCGGTCCACGAGCATATTGCTACCGAGCCGATCGTCTTTACAACTCGAGACGCATCCAAGGTCAAGCTTCTCTTCGACATTGTCCCAACTTATTCTGGAAACAATAAGAACAAGATCGGCCGTGCCGTGGCCCTTATGTCGTCTGTCAAGCCATCACTTGGCACTGGCCGTATGAATCTGCAAGGCGACTTGTGTGTGCCCATTATGAATAGCAGCTTGGAGGTTATTGGAACAGTCAACTTCAACTTTTTGGTTATTACACCCTTCTATCACCCTAACATGGAGATTACTTCCAGACAGACGTACTGGAAAAAGCTGTCGTCCACCATGCTCATTGGTCATCGAGGTCTCGGAAAAAACATTACCTCCAACAAATCCCTTCAGCTCGGCGAGAACACTTTGCCGTCTTTCATTGCTGCGGCTAATCTGGGAGCTCAGTATGTCGAGTTTGATGTGCAGCTCACCAAAGATCATGTCCCAGTCATCTACCACGACTTTCTCGTCAGCGAAACTGGCATCGATGCTCCTGTTCACACGCTCACCTTGGAGCAGTTCTTGCACATCAACCCGGATGGTAGGAGAAACAACAGCAACCGCAAAAACAGCCCAGCCCACAGCGGAAAATCGACTGTTGGCCGGACGCGCAGCAACAGCTTTACCCCACAGCGGTCACAGTCCATGGGCTACGCCGGTTCCGGTTTACAACAGGAGATGGAGGAGCGCATGAAACACACTAGAGACTTCAAAGAGAAGGGATACAAGGCCAACTCCCGAGGCAACTTTATTCAGGCGCCTTTTGCGACATTGGAAGACTTGTTCCGAAAGCTACCGGAACATATCGGTTTCAACATTGAAATGAAGTATCCCATGCTCCATGAAAGCGAGGAACACGAGATGGATACGTATGCGGTGGAACTAAACTCCTTCTGCGACACCGTGCTCTCCAAAGTCTACGACCTGGCGGGGGAGCGCCACATCATCTTCAGCTCCTTCAACCCGGATATTTGTTTGTG